AAAAAGAGATATACTCTTACATCATATGAGGAAAAAGAAAGACATGGAAAAGAAATTCTCATGGCCGTCAATTATGGCATGTGTTCTTTTTCTTGGTGGATAATATTTAGTGGGCACAGATATCTACGTTCAGAAGATTGGGTCCATTAAAAAAAAAAAGAAAAGAAAAGAAAAGAAAAGAAAAATAAGCCTTTTCAAATCAAGGGTCCGGATGTTTGGCTTAAGGACTTTTTAAAAAAAAATTATAAGTTTGTCATTATAATTTATTATTAAATAAGTATAATTTATTTTTAAATAAATATATAATATTCTATATAAATTTGTAGATAAAAAATTAATTATAAAATAATATATAATATTATAATATATAAATAGTTATTTTTATTTAAAATTTATTTATAATATTATATATTTTTACTTATTTACTTATAAATTTATAATTGAGTGAAGTTATTAAGTAATTTTTTAAATATTTTTATATAATTTTCATATATAATTAAATAAATAAATACATTTAATATCATAAATTACACATAAATTAAAATAATTAATTATTTTAATAAAAAATCAAATTATTTTAAAAAATAAAATAAAATAATTATTCCAATAACATCCTCTTTCTCATTTTACGTGTTTTCGTAAATTGGTAACACTATAATATTGCACGGATAAAAGCAAAATGCGGCCCGACCCGACCCGAATACATATCGTTCTTATCCTCCCTCTCCGGCTTCCCTTTACTGCGGAACGGCCGAACCGCGCCGCTCTTTCCCCACAAAGAAGGTTAGCCATGTTTCCGACATCAATCCAACCAAACATAAAACCCTCCTTTAAACTCTTAAATTTTCCTTCTCAAAACCCTAGAATTTCTACACATCCATGCTCCATTTCCGGCATAAAATTCAGTCAGTGCACAAAGAAGGTTAATCTCAAACAATCAGCTTCATCGCCTGCCGTCGATCCAATTCTCACTAATGAACAGCCCTTTGATGATTCCGCCGCCGAATCCCCATATAAAGAGGTCGGTTTCTTCATTTCCGTATTTTAATGTTGTTGTTATTATTATTACTATTATTGTTTATGCCTTGTTTTATATGATCTGTTGGAGAATCTAGGGATTCGATGGTTTCTTTTTACCTTTACTCATTTTATTGTTGTTTCTGCAGCTTTATGAGATGCAATTAGGTTGATTAGATGAATTTACTAAAATTTTTGGTTAAACAGAAGCAGGAAGATGTTGGGATTTCATTTCCCTTTTTCTTAGAAGCCAAACATGGGACTTGCAACAAGTTGCATTGCTTGTGTTGTGTATCTCAAAAAGGTCTTGGTTTAGTTCATTAGCATTTATAATTTTGAAGAAGAACTGCCTTTAGATAAAATAGGAAGAGAAGAAAGGAGGGGTGCAATTGCTACCCCTGAAATTCAGATTCAACGATGTCATCATTGAATTCTCTTGAATTTTTGGTTATGAATCTTGCCACCCAAATGTGGCTCTTACATTGTTTTTTCTTGAGCTTGTATTGAGGTAGTGAAGGGCTTGTCGATAGGAAGCAGTACTCTAGGTATGAGCCAAGTCTTGGATTCATGAGATTGCCTGAAATTGTTTTGAGTATCTACGGTTGTCCAGTTTTAAGCTGTTTCATCAAGAGTGAGTATATACTAGAGAGAGTTTGAATTTAGTTGGCAATATTTAGACTCCTATTTCTACTTTCTAGTATGCATTTTCTATATTGAAGTTTCTTTCACAGTTGTCTCTGCACTCATGAACTTAGGCCTACTTATCAAATCATGTAAATTCATGTCTAATCCTGTTAGTTAAATTTCATCTTGCCTTTTGTTTTGGGTATCTTAAATTCTTTCTTTCTCTAAGTTAAAAGTTTATCATATTCTAATGAAGTCTGTTGTTGGAACTAAACATTTTCTTGTTGTTCTTTCTTTCTTCCTTATCTATGATAACTCAGAAGCTTGGAGTGGTTGTGAAGCCATTGGAGAAACCAAGAATAGTATTGAAGTTCATATGGATGGAAAAAAACATTGGTATTGGACTTGACCAAGTGATACCCGGATATGGCACAATCCCATTGAGTCCATACTACTTCTGGCCAAGGAAAGATGCATGGGAAGAGCTCAAGATTCTACTTGAGAGCAAGCGCTGGATATCTCAGGGGATGAGGGTTCAGCTTCTCAATCAAGCAACTGACATCATCAATTTGTGGCAGACAAGTGGTGGTAATTTGTCATAAACTTTGACATGCGAAGATTTGAATTCTGAGTCATTTTTGCTATAGATTTATCGTTGTGGAAGGATTGTATTGTTGTAATCTGTTGAATTAGAGTTGTTAGAACTTACTAATATCTAAGTTGAATGAAATATGGCGCATTCAGCAATTAGCAATGTGAATTGTGTGTTTGTGATAGCTTTTTAGTATTTCGAAGACCAAGACATACAAAGGGCATGTTTGGTGGCGCTTATAAGCAGATTGCAAATAAGTAATTTGCTTTCGCACAAATTTGAGAATTTGATAGGGGAAAATTTTGAATTTGACTTTTTAATGTGACTTATAAGTAAGTGTCAAAAAAAAGTATTCTAGTAAATTTGTTTGTCGAAATCATAGTTAGTTATCTAATGGATAATGTTATTTTTTCATTTTATAATAATTGTTATTTAAGAAGTT